TTAGTAGAGACGGGGTTTCACCATGTTGACCAGGATGGTCTCGATCTCTTGACCTCGTGATCCACCCGCCTCTGCCTCCCAAAGTGCTGGGATTACAGGCGTGAGCCACCGCGCCCGGCCTTAGGCCTTTAAGTTCTAAGTGCAATTCATTGACTATTCTTAAGTATTCTGAGTAGAGGAGAGGATTTTTTTCTTCCCCCGACCCCCACTGCTTGCAGCAGCAATAGGAAGGATGCTTAATTCAGTCAACAATTGCATCAGTGATTGATTCATGGCCTGCTGTGTGCAGGGTGCCCTTCTGGGTGATGAGATCCGATGCTGGACAGGACAGGCAACGACTGTGCAACCCGAAGGGCTCAGTCTAGGGGCGCAGGAGTGGGGGCTGGGCAGTAAAACAAAATAATTGTAACCATCCCACAATGGGATCATTGGAGAAGGTCTCTCACTAAAACAGGCAAGATGGGCAGAATAGTGGAAGTGGGGAGGGAGCGCATCCCAGGGCTGCCTGAGGCAGGAGCGAGCCAGGTGTGGGGAGCGAACAGTTCTAGGGGCCTGAGGTGGGACAGTGCTGGAGGGAATGAAAGGGATGAGGGGAACCTTTTTCTCCCCTTGTTTCTTCTCTCTTTCATCTCCCTCTCTTCATCTCTCCCTCTCTGTGTCCCCTGTCCCCTTCCATCTCTCTCCCCTGGATACTCACCCTCTTTTTTGTCTCTCTCTCACTGTCTCCCCGTCTTTCACTCTGCTATGACTGGCCATAACCTGAAAGGCAGTATAGAGTAGTGGTGAAGAGCTCAGACTTTGGTGCCATATAACTGGGCTCTGCCACTTCCTGTGTGTCCTTAGGCAAGTTACTTAACCTCTCTGTGCTGATAATAATAGTAACCTGCATCAGGGTTGTCGTGGGGATCAAACTGAGATGCAATCATGTAAAGCACTTAGAACAATGCCTGGCACACGTGAGCATCAGTAAGGGGTGACGATTATTATTATTATCACTTAATGTCTCTTTTTCTTTCATCTCTCTTGACTGTCGCCCTCTCCCTGTCCTGTCATCTTTCTCCCTTCATTTCTTTCCTCGACGGCCGTCTTACCCTTTGCTCCCTCCGTTTCTTCCCGTCTCTCTCCTCCATCTCTCCCCCTACCCCATGTCTCTCCTCCTCTTTCTATATCTTGACCTCTGCCTCTTTCTCACCCCTGCCCTTGACCCCTAAATCCCTGTCCTCCCCGCCCCCTCCCCACCCCCTTGTAACATTCCAGACTCTCTGACGACTCCCAGTCCTCGCTCCTCTCCAAGCCAGTCAGCAGCCTGTTTCAGAACTGGCCTAAACCACCTCTGCCGCCACTCCCCACCGGAACAGGGGTCTCCCCGACAGCCGCTGCAGCCCCAGGGGCCACCTCACCCTCGGCCTCCTCCTCCTCCACGTCCACCCGCCACCTCCAGGGCGTGGAGTTCGAGATGCGGCCCCCTCTGCTCCGCCGGGCCCCCAGCCCCTCGCTGCTGCCCGCCTCGGAGCACAAGGTCAGCCCCGCGCCCAGGCCCTCGTCCCTGCCCATCCTGCCTTCCGGACCCCTCTACCCAGGCCTCTTTGACATTCGTGGCTCCCCAACTGGAGGGGCAGGAGGCTCGGCTGATCCCTTCGCCCCAGTATTTGTGCCACCACACCCGGGGATGTCCGCGGGGCTCGGGGGAGCCTTGTCAGGGGCCTCGCGCTCCCTCTCACCCACCCGCCTGCTCTCGCTGCCCCCGGACAAGCCCTTTGGCGCTAAACCTCTGGGGTTCTGGACCAAGTTCGACGTGGCCGATTGGCTGGAGTGGCTGGGCTTGGCAGAGCACCGAGCTCAGTTCCTGGACCACGAGATCGATGGCTCCCACCTGCCCGCCTTGACCAAGGAGGACTACGTTGATCTTGGTGTGACCAGGGTGGGACACCGCATGAACATCGACCGGGCTCTCAAATTCTTCCTGGAGAGGTGATGGCTGGCCTGGACGGACCAGCCCGTCCACCAACTCTTGAGCCTGCTGGCCTCTTGACCTCTGACCCCTGACTGTCATTCTCACCCCGGGCCAGGGACTCTGTTCAAACTGCGCCCTGCCCTCTTCTCCCAAGGCCAGAGGTCACCAGGTGGCCCAATCCAGGCCGGACATTTACACCTCACTGGAGGGGGGCAGCTGACACCAGACTGCGTTGTGTGTGTGAAGCGGGGAGTGGAGGGGGATAGGAGAAACAACAGGGGGGGTTTGAGAAGGAGGGAAGGGCCGATTCTGGGGGGAGGGGATAGACAGAGCCATAGAGGGTCAGCCCTGAGCCTGATTGGATGGGGACCATCCCCCAGGCCGCAGGGGAAGGGGGTGCCCTCAGATTCCATCACCTGCCACCCCTCTAACAACCCTTCCCACCCTCTCCAGGCCCCTCAACTCTTCCCTCTTCCCCTCTCCCCAGCACACACAGCTGCCCGCCTCAGCCTCTTGCACGCTCCGTTGCACGCCTGCTCACCTCTCTCCCTGCCTCTCCCCTCCCTGGGCTGCAATTTTGCACAAATTTGCCCTCTCGCTGTCTTGCACATTCTGCCTTTGCTTCTGGCTGGCGAGGCCCGCTCAAACACACTCTTTTCTCACACACGCTGCATTTCCTTTCTCACGCTCCACGCCTCCTGCTCTGATTCCCGCTGCTTGCACACTTCCCTCCCGGGGCCCTCCTTTACACACTCCACTCACATCTCCAGACCCCCTCCCCCCGCTCACTCTGGACCCTTGTTGCAGACACACTTGGGACACATTTTCCCTCCCCCACTCACAGACTCCATGCACATCATTCATTCTCTGGAGTGCCCTGCTCTTTGCTCAGCCCTTGCACACTTGCTAGCTTATGCCCCTCCCACACACTCTTACCTCCATTTTCTTACGTTGAAGCACTTTCCCTTCTTATTCTTAAACCCCCAGATTCTTCCTCTCCCACCACCCCCCGTCACCATGACAGTCCTAGCCCCCCACCCCTCCTTCCCCCTCACTCCTCTTGCACCGTCACTTTTGGTCACACATTTTGCACACTTGCCTCCCAGGAACTGTGTTTCTCTCACAGATGCTCATTCTCTTCTTCTTTTTCAGGCTCCCAATTCCTTGCCCCCTTCTGTTTGAAATCTTTGCCCCTCTGCATTTTTGATTCTTTTGTGAACCCTCTTGCACACTTGCTTCGGCGCACGCGCCCCCTCCAGCACTAATGGTCTCCGGAAGCCTTGTTTCTCTCCCTTCATCATGTTCTTGCACACCATGGCGTTGCTGCACACCCCTTCGTGTCTTTTCTACATGGATGAGAGCTCTGCCACTTCTTTCCTTTTGCACACTCATCTCACGCCATGCGCTCTTGGGCTGTAACTGCCATTTCTTTTCCTGACACCATTTTTTTTTTTTCCTGTTGAGGAGCAGCTCTTGCAGCCATGCTCACTCTGATTCTCTCACCTCCTTAAGCGCTTTCCCTTCCTGGTGAGAGAAGACCCTATGCACACTCGCTTCCTGCTTACCATGCTTCCACACTCCAGCCTCTCCCTGCCTCTAGACGCCCCCCTCCCCACATCCTCTCTTTTCTCAGTCATCCTGTCCTTCCTGGGCCATCTGTTCATCCCTTTTGCACGAAGATTCCCCTTTCCTAACCTGTCCTCTCCGAGAAGCTCCCTCTCCCTCCAGCATGGCTGTTCTGTCCCGCACGCTTCCTCTCTCCCCTTATTCCCGGGGCTTGGGAATTTTAAGCCACCCTTCCCCCTCAAAAGCCCCCTCCCCTGCTGTGGGTAAAGGGGGGAGGGCATTGCCCTCAGGTCCCCCCCCCATGTTCAGCTGCCAAAGAAGGGAGCTCCCCCTCCTTCCCCAAACCCATTTCCCCTCTGCTGCCCCTACCCCCGAGAGGGGGGGTCGCTCCGTCCATGAGGGGAGGGGGCTTGCAGCCCCCTCCCCTCACCATGTCAGGGATCTGCGGGGAACCTCGTGGGAGGGTCGTGGGAGGGGGGAGGGCTGGTGAGGAGAGGGGCAGAGGCCGCGCTGGACCCCTACCCGCCCCCTCCCCCTTGTCGGATGCCCCCAGTCCGCAGGGGGCCTGCGCGGCGCCCGTCTATCAAGGGCTTGTTCATTCTGGATGGGTGCCGCGGGGTTGGGGAGGGCGTAGGGGGTGGGGAG